TCTCCTGGCCACATGCTGAAAGTATGTGAGATGGAGCTGACTTGAAAAGCCTGATAGACAACTCCACAACAATAGTAGGAAGCTATAACACACTACTTTTGATGAAGGATAGAACGACTAGAAAGAAACTCAACAAAGACAGAGAAGAATTAAACAATGCAAAGGATGAGCTTCATAGGAATAAATTAAATTTGCTGTGGAATTAAATTTGGAAAACATTGCAGTGAGGGTAACTTTCTGTGTAATCACGGCCTTGACAATGGCTCCACTAGAAGAAATGCAGTTGATCCAATTATATAAAGCACATATTCTAATATATGCTCCTAGCATATAATTAAGATGATGTAAATGCTAGCTAAGAAATATTTTATAGTCCAAAATCTCCTCAATAGAGCTCACTTTTGTCCTCTATGAGGAAGAGATGTTATTACAGTGTCTGCTCTGCTGTTTCCCTTAATGTGGATATTAAAGTCGAATTAGATCAGGTGGGGCAATAGTAAAAGTATCCTAAAATGTGAAAGAAGGCAAAGCATAAGCAAAGAGTTGTTCTGATTGAGTAGAGCTCTGAAGACTGATATGAGAGAAGGAAAAAAAAATTCTAATGGAGACACTCCTTCTTAGCACGAGGCTGAGGTGGGCCAAGTCTCCCATTTCAACTCCATTTTCCCATTTGTAAAATGAAACTGATGAATGAGACTGTAAAGCACTTAGCAGTGCCCAGAACTGAAAGTGATCAGTAAATGATAGGAGCTCTGGTAGTCTGGTGATAAGGAGCCATGCTGCCAACCCAAAGGTACACAGTTCAATTCTACCAATTGTTATGTAGAAGAAATATTCTCCCATGTGATTTACTGCCTCTGAAAATCTGCTGGAGAGTCAGCTATAGATCAGGTCAAACTCGATGGCACATAGCAATAACACTGACAACTGATCAAGGCCTTCAATATAGATTGTATTGTTGTTATGTACCATTAAGTCAGGACCAATTTTTAACTGCACCTTTAGTGAGTTTCAGAGGCAATAAATCACATAGGAGTTAATTGTTAATCTTTCTCCCATGGAGCAGCTGGCAGATTCAAACCACATGCCTTTGGGTTGACAGTGCAATTCCTTACCACTAGGCCACCACCTTACAATATGAAGAAAATAAAAATCCTTACAACTGGACCAATAGGCACCACCATGATATGAGAAGAGGAGATTGAACTTCTCAACGATTTAATTTTACTTGGATCCATAATCAACATGCATGGTAGCTGTTCTTGTTAGGTGCCTTCAAGTCAGAAATGGTCCACAGCAGACCCTCCAGGGGCTTTCCAGAAGCTGTACATCACAGGGTGGGAGATGGCACATATTCCTCCCGAGGACTGGCCGGTGAATTCAAAGCATATTGAGTTGGCAGTACAACTTGTTACAACTAGGTCACCAGGGCTCCCTCTCATGGCAGCAGTAGTCAAGAAATCAAGACTTGTTACATCTGGAATCTCCTGTCCAGAACCTCTCCAAAGTGCTAAAAGCAAGGATGTCAGTATGACGATTGAAGTGCCCTGACCCAAGCACCTGAGTCTTCAAACTTACTTTCAACTGCTTCTTATGCATCTGAAAATTGAGCAATGAGTAAGAAAGACCACAGGAGAGCTGAGAATGGACGCTTTTTAAATTCTGGTATTAGTGAAGTCTATTGAACAGCAGCCATGGACTGCCAAAAGAACAAATCTGCTTTGCAGCCTCTTACACTGGGGAAGTTCACAGAAGATTCCAGGCCTTGGGAAAAGATACAATGTGGCAACAGAAAGTGGAGAGTCAATGATAGAAAGGAAGACCTTCAGTTAGGTGGATTGACACATAACTACCACAATAGGCTTGAATCTGACAGAGATGGTGAGGACGATGCAGAATAGAGAAAGGTTTTGATCTGGTCTTCATAGTCACTTAGAATAAGTGTTGATGAGCACAATCTTATCACTGAAGTTGTCAATACTTTCATTCAACTTAGATCCACATTCAACAACCATGGAAACAGGTGCCAAGAAACCAAACAATGTGTTATGCTGGGAAAATCTGCTCCAAAAGAATCCTTTAATGTTTTAAAAAACAAAGAGGTCACATGCCTCAAGCCATGATCTTTTCAGTTGCCTCATTTCCATGCAAAAGTTTACATAATCAAAAAGAAAGACGGGAGAAAAATTGACATGTCTAAAGTGTCAATTGATGTGTCTAAACTGCAGTGTTGATGAGGAATATCAGATCTACTGTGGCCTGCCAAAAAATGAATAAATCCGTGTAATAGGAAACACAGTCATTCTGATTGTTCTTTAATAGCAAGGATGACTCATGTACTTTGAACACAGCATCAGGAAAACCCAATCGCTAGAAAGGACATCATATTTGGGAGAGGATCAACAAAAATGAGGGAAACTCTCATTGAGATGAATTGACACAACATCAACTGCAATAATTAACTTACATATTCCAATGATTATAAATAGGGGTGCAAGATTAGGCAATTTTTAATTCTATTATAAATACAGTAAGCATGACTCAGAGCCAACTCAGTAACAACTAAGACCAACCAAGAATCATTTTGTTATTATTGTCATCATTATAGGTCATTATTTATTCTCACAAAGACCTTCCTTTCCTTCCTCTCTAGGAATTTCACTGTCTCATCCCATTACTTAGTCTGTTGGCAGAGTTCAAAAAAGTTATATTCTTAGGAAAATCTCTTCACAATGGTAGGATAATTCCATCATGGAACCAGAACGGAAACAATGCTGGTAGCATCTCCCTGCTGGACTGGACCACGAAGGATTTTAAAGTGTAAATGCTTCCCCTTTGTTCCTCTACTTGCTATAAATTGGCCTGACTTCTTCAATCAATGTTTTACGACCCCTGAACGGTGACACTGGTGATATTGTTAGGCACTAAGGGTTGACAGTCAACACTCTTGGTAATAGCAGCCAGGAAATCAAGAGACGAATTGCATTGGGAAAGTCAGCTGTGAGGGACCTCTCAAGAGTACTGAAGAGCAACAACATCAGGCTGGAGACTAAGGTGCGCCTGATCCGGGCTATAGTCTTTGCAATTACATGCTATGCATTAGAGAGTTGGACAGTGAATAGGGATGATAGAAGGAAAATTGATGCCTTTGAGCTGTGGTGCTGGAGAAGAAAGAGTGTTGAATATACCATGGACTGCTAGGAGAACAAACAGGTTTTGTCCTGGAGAAGGTGAAGCCGGAATGCTCCTTGGAGTCAAGGATTCTGAAGCTTCGTCTGACATACTTTGGGCATGTTGCAAGGAGGGACATCATGTTTGGCAGAGTGGAGGGGCAACGAAGGAGAGGAAGACCTTCGATGAGATGGATTGATTCTGTGAGTGGAGAGGTGGGAATGAGTGTGTTTGAGATGGAGAGGTTGGCACAGGATAGAACGGCGTTTAGGGCTCTTGTACATAGGGTCTCTATGAGTCGCAAACGACTTGATGGCACATAACAACAACAACAACAACATAGGTTGACTAGGACTCAAAGCTACCCTATGAACAATGAATCAGAACTTTGCTATGTTCTTCGCCATCCTCATAATTTCCAATATGTTTGAGTCCATTGTTAGGTCTGCTGTGCCGATCCATCTTGTTGTTGACCTCAGAATAGAAATGATAAAATCCAGAAAGAAAAGGCAAAATGGCAGGCAATGGGAAATTGGAAGCAAAGCGCAATGTGAAAAGAAAAACATCATGACTGATTCCTCACAAAACTTGTCCTAAAACAAATCTTTGAAGACAAAATAATGTTATAAACTACATCTGCTATTTAAAAGACAAACTATAGAGTCAGAATTTATCTCTCTGTGTACATGTGGAAGCCATTCTTGTTGAGTACCAGCTCCTTTCTCTTCCTGTTTTTTTGGTTTTTTGTTTTGTTTTGTTTTGTTTTTTTTAAATTCACAGGGAACAGAATAAAATGAAATAAGTCTAACTGATAGCATGACAGGGGCTTCAGGGCTGTAGGGATGGTCATTTAATGTTAAGACCAGTGACAAGAGCACGTGACTGCCAAAAGAGTCACTAAGGGGAAATTAGTCAATGGAATTGGTACCACAAGCCTCCTATCTTATGATTCACCAGTCTTTACAACTACTCTGCCATCTAGGCTCTGTTAATCCTTCTAACATTTGCTGCCAAAATGTATTCCACAAGTGGAGTACGCCCACTTCCTCTACTTTCTCTCCACCTAATCTCTCAGTGCTCTGGTGGCTTAGAGATTAAGGAATTGCACTGCCAACATGAAACTATGAGGTTCGAATCCACTAGCTGTTCCACAAGAGAAAGATAGTCAGTCTCCTCATTGAAGATTCAGTTATGGGTAAGTTCTGACTCAATAGTGAACAACAACATCCCAGTGGAGTTCCCGAGTAGAGAAAACAGTTAATGTGCTTGTCAGCTAGCTGAAAGGTTGGCAATACTAATCCACCTAGAAGTGTGTGGCACTCTATTTCTGACAAATACAGGAATAGAGTACGTAACAGAATTCTATTCTAATGCATATGGAGTCACCAGAAGTTGGAATCAGCTCACTGACAATTGGTAACTGGTTAATCTCCCAGTAGATCCTGCATTTTTCTCTGGCTCTTTCTGTACTTTCACTGGCACTGAGACGTATACAAAAAGTCAATCAACTGTATTGCATATAAGATAGGTGATCTGTAAATTCCAGAGACTTTAGGGAAGTGTAAAGGAATCCAAATGCCACTTTGGCCTTGCTGACTGAGGTTAAATATTCAATAATCCTTCCAAAGAAGGTTTACAAATGCTGAATATCACTTTAAAAAATTTTCATCAACTAAATTCTGAATCAGAAAATCTACGCCCCTTCCGAATTACCAGTGTATTGGCAGGAAGAGCCTGTAAGACCTGCTCAGAATCACAGTCAGACTGATGGGTTGTACTATGGTGAGAAGGAGCTTTCCTCTCCTATAAGGGCCATACTCCCACCTTACCGTAACTGAGCCATGTCTCGGCAGAGCTCGATGTTGGGTCTCCGAGTCCGCTCATCCAGCCTGGTCTGAGCTACCTTCAGGAAGGCAGACTTCTCCCTGACGGCCTTCTTAATGGATTCGATGGCCATCTCAGTCTGGAAGATCTCCTGCAAAATCTATAATGAAAAGAAAGAAATACTGAAGCTTTTGGTTTCACCTGTCAACAATTTCCTCCCCATCTGGTTAGTTGAACCAGGCTTGCCCTCTCTAATGAGCAGGTAGAGTCAATGAGAACCTTGTTGCCTACCCAAGGAACTCCAAAGTGTCTGCTGGAGAGCTCTAGAGATCTGGTTGTAGAGAGCTGAGTCAACATATTCACTCCCACCTCCAGGTTCGGTGACATCATGCCTATAACTTGGGACAAAATATTTACACTACAGGAATGTTAAATGCTAAAAATCATGCTTTCTTCCCAGCATCCAGCTGAGTAACTGAGAAAAAAAGTCTTGAGAGTTGAGTGGTCCTAATTCCCCTCTTCATATCAATATAACTTTCCCTTTCTAGTGTTCCACTTTCTCTTTCTACCAGCCTCAGAGAAATGTATTTCTCCTAGCCAAGGCTTTGTCTTGATGTCAACCAAGTGTAAGTTTTAGGGTCATAGGCAACTCAATGGTACATAACAATGACAACAACAACAACAACATATTATATTGGTTGTTTTTATTTACGCCTCTTTTGTAGTGTTAACAAGACCTTGTGGAGGGCCTTTGTATTGAAAAGTCAGTTGTTATTATATTTTGGAGAAACATTCTTCTTAGTGGTACAGCACTCTTCTGTCAATTTGCTGTACTGAGGTAAGCTGGGGTTCCTGTGATGCTATACCTTGTGCCACTGGGGTGTCAAATGCCATAACAGTTACCAGTGGTGGAAAGTGTTTGCTGGAGCTCCCTGTTTAAGACAGGTTTAGAAGCAGGATTAGAAGCATTTCCTAAACCACATGCCTCTGGAAACTCTATGAACTTTGAGAAATGATGATAGTTATTGAAAGGCTTCAGATCTTTTGTTCATAGGGTTGCTATGAGTGAGTCATGCTTGACTCGACAGCAATCAACAACAACAACATGTGGAAGAAGGGCAGGGAACTGGGCAATGTGCATTCCTAATTTTTCATTCTTAAATGAGTTTCCCCAATTTGCCAAGACCTGGACCCCTCTCTGGTTCCTCCTCTTCTATGAAGTGAGCCCCTCCTGAGTACTGAAAGTCCTCCCTTGTCCTACTCTAGGGACCTGAGCTTGCCAATCTCATTTTTCACACCTTCTGCATCATGTTCCTTCTCTGATTCCTTTTCCTATGACCTGGAAACATGCCCAAGTACCATCAAATTAAACAAACTCCTATCTTTACTGCCACTCTTATCTAGGCCTCTCCAATCTTTTTCCTGATGTTTGTTTCCAAAGAGTAGAGTGGGGGGAAGGCTTTAACTCACTCTCTTCATTTGTTGCCCAACAAATCTGGTGGTTACTATGTTCTGTTTTGACTCTAGAGTTTTTTAAAACTTCCCTTGACTTATTTTCACTGAGCAACTGCTGCCTGCTTCTTTGTCTTTGTTTCTAACTACTCCTCAATTATTTTCAATGCATAATCATGTCTATGGGACACTTATCTTTTACACCCCACTGTCATTATTGTTAGGCATCATAAAGTCAACTACAACTCATAGGGGCCTTGCGAACAACAGATTGAAACTCTGTCTTATCCTGAACTAGCCTTACAATCTTCACCATATCTAATCCTATTGCTGTAGACACTGTGCCAGTCCATCTTGTCGAAGGTTTTTATCTCTTTTGCTGACTGTGGTGTTAGCATAAAAGTTGGCTTTTTTAGCCATGATAGTTAGATGCCTCTGGTCTCCAGCCTCATGGTCTTGTAAATCTGCATGGCTTTGCAAATCAGTATCAGCTGTGTAACTAGGATAAAGAAAAAGAGTGCATCCCACACTGGGCAGCAAGACTTGAGGTGAGAGAGACTTTAGGCATGCAAGGCTTGTGGTGGCAAGACCCTAGTGAGGTGAGAACCTAGTAGTGGAGAGACTGTGGCATTGCTGTGGAGAAGTAGTGGCAAGGTGTGTGACCTACGGCTTCTTGCATTTGCACTAGCCACAGTTAAAAATTTGGCTGTTCTTGCTGGATATTTGAAGGAGAAGCTGACTTATAACTGCTCTGAGGCAAATCTTGCTGGATGATTTGGATTTGACTACTGAACTGAAACTGGAGTCTGGACTTTCTGAGGAATTGTGCCTTAGAACTGTTGGGCTAAAGCTTGGATTTGGGTGACATTCTTTGTCTTCTCCACTCTCTGACTTCCTTCTTTAGTAAACTCCATTGTTGGTACCATAACTTTGAGTCTGTGAGTTAGCAAGGAATAAACAAACCTCTTGCTATTAGTGAGGCTCTAGAAGCACCATAGAGCTGAGCTATAAGCTCTTTATCTGCTTTCTACTCTGGAGCAGTGAAGGGCTGTGCTATTCTTACTCCCTCTGGCCCTTTCAGAGAGTCACTCATGGCCCTGTGCTTCTATGTCCTATTTTCTCCTACTTAGACACTGACTGTCTGCCTTCTCTACAACGTTAGCTTTTTCCAAAGACTGGCTCCTATAGACAATACGGCCAAAGTATGAGAGGCAAAGTTTCACTATCCTCTTTAAGGAGCACTCTAGTTGCACATCTCATAATCAAACTATTTAGTATCCATAACTCAGGAACTCTTAAATCTGTCACTTACACTTTGACTTATCTTCTAAGTTTGTAACAATCTATTAAAAGTCATTAAAATGTCCTATCACTAAGGAATAATTCAGACACATGACACCATCCTTCTTTGACCATTAAAAACAACTTTTCTGAACCAATTTCAGTTCTTTATCTGCAGTGCTAAGGGGTTCTTTCTGCACTTTCTCAATGGAGTTTGTAGTTTTCTGCCTTATCGTTGTATATGTACCTGCCTGGTCTCACTCTACAATATGAAAAGATGGTCAGCATGCTGTTCAAACATGCACATCCCAGAGTGCACAGTACTGGGATACAGTGTGTGAGAATTTATGGAGTAAAGGAATTCACTTACACAATGTAATGAATTGTCTAAATTTCTGAGGAATAAGAATCAGGATCAGCACAAAGCTATTTTTTTTTAATGAGGCAGATACCAGGTATATGTCCACTCTCCACTTCTCCTTTATTTCCCAAACCAGCCATCTCTCACATGGCACTCTCTACTCTGCTGGGTCCAATAATCCACTGCAACAGCCACATATTACTCATAGACTTTGCCTATTGTTATGTGGTATATTAGGTAAGTAAATGGCTAAAGCCTATTATCAGAATGAGATAGTACATAGACAAAGTCTGGAAAAATGCCTGATATGAAGATCATTTCCCTCCCTCCTTCATTGCAGGGCAGCTTCTGAGCAGGTGCTTTCTGCTGTTGAGCCTCTGATTTTACAGCTAGTGTCACAGATTGTTCAGTTCTCTTAGCTGCTTTCTGCCATCAGGCCTCTCTATTTTCAGACCTCTGCCATGGCCTCACTCACATCTAACATAGCAGTCTTTTCAGTGCTCTTAGCTGCTCATTGCCATTATTTCTCTCTTGCATTAGAGCCATTTGCATCTAATTAGCCCAGCTCATAGCCTGTGTAACAGCCCACTCAGTTCTCTTACTTTGTTTCTGCCATCAGACCTTTGCATTATGGGCATCAATTGCTAAAAGATTCATAGTCATAGTAGCAACTTGATGACCACTTGGCTTCCCTGGAGCTCTGCTTCTCTGCTGGCCGAGTCCTCAGCCAACATCACCCAATAGGCCTCTAAATCTGTACCTCAAACCATTTATATATCCTGATCTACTCTTCCCATTAATATCTTCCACAACTTGGCTTTAATATTTTCACACTAGGCTTTTCACAGACCTGAACAGAACCTCTGATTGCTACCTCTTAGGATTTACTAAAAGATGTTACCCTATTTGTAATGTTCACGTCTACCTCTAAACCCTAACCACGCTTTTTGAATTGTTATTTGGCAACCACAATTTGTCATTTTCTACTGTTATCAATTGTTTGTGA